GGAGATCTATGCCACCACTTAAAAGCACAGTCTTTTAGAGACTCACCTGCCTGCTTAGTAACACCAAAGATTCCTGTTTGCACTTAACTAAAGGTCATTAAGAGAAATACTTATTACAGTGTTGCTATGAAGATATCACAAATATTCCAGGCAGAAGTCAGATTATTTATAAAACCAGTTTACACAAAAACCAGAATTAGACTGAAAACTGCCCCACGACCTATGCATTGTGGCTGTTCCAGAGCAGCAGGCTCTGGCAGGGGCAAATGGTCTGGAAATGGGAATTGACCCAGTCAGACCAATGGGCCAAAGACACTGCTGTTTAGTGGAGATACCACACAGGCTCCTCTGTTGGGTGACGGGAGCCAAACTCACCAGGGCATACAGGGCAGGAGAACAAGCTCCTGGCTTTGCAATCTCTGTAATGATATGGCATCTCTACGGAGAACTATGTGGGAAACAAACTATTGCTTGTACTGTACGTGGGGAAAGTGACTCTGACTTTCTATAACCAAATACTACACTGGTTTTGACTGAAAAATGGAAACTTCTTTTGAGCAGCAAACTGTTATGATGCTCTGTTTTCTGCAGCCCAAAGACAATAACCAGGCCTTCCTTACAGCCAGCTGGTAAGTGGAACCTGGCCTACACAAAAATTCATAATTCTGAAAGCGAGTAAAATCCAAAGCCAGAAAACATCTGCAGCGGCTGGAAAACCCTAAAACAAAACCTCTTGAAAGTTACATTTGTCTAGAGCCGAGTCTTCCTCTGTCAGAGAGCTTTGAGACGGACACCCCTGTGCTAGGGATGTCCACCGCTGGGGCCTGCCCAGGGCAGAAGGTCCCAGAAGACAGACTCAGGTCACACTGCGGGATCTCCTGTGTGCTTTGGTATTAGGTTAACGAAATTATGTTGACCACCTTTCACATTTTGATAGAAAAATACTTCACCAGAAAATTCACAATCAGCTGTTAACCTAAGCAGGACCACACACATCACAAGCAGACAGAGTGCCCCAAGCCCCTCCTGCGCAAACACCGCCTACTCTCCATCCATGGCTGACTGCACTGCAGAGGCCCTGCCCTACAGAAAACCACCTCTAGTCTTGATGCTGACATATGATTGACATAAGACATGAAGCCAACAACCAAGCAAGTCATCTGCTACAGGTCCTGACAGTCACTGTGCTGAGCAGAACTGAGCGGGAAAGCTTCTAGCCTTGCCAAGCAAAAGGCAGGACCAGCACAGATCCTCTGCCCACCCACGAGACAGTACTGCCAGGTGTCTCAGGCCTCTGCCTGTAAAGAAAGGGCAAACAGCAGCTCTGTGCCAAGGCTGTGTGATAGCAAGGAACAGGATGCACAAGCCAGGCCCTTACCTGCTCAGACAAACCTCCTGCCATGGGTCTTATCATGCCTCTCCTGAGCACAGACTCTCAGAGGTTTTCTCCTCATCCCTTCCCTGAAGAGCAGTTTCCAAAGGTCTGTGCTTCAGTCCCCACCCAGACAAGTCTCCCATCACCTCCAGACCAATGAAATGCAAAAGGTCCTCATGCTCATGTTGGCGCAGAAATGTGAAACTAAGCTAGGAAGTGCTTGGCATGTGACCCTTGCCAAACACCTGGCAATGACAAAACGAGCCAACTCCAAGTGCTTTCAGTACGAAACACTTACCACAAGTTGACGAAGTTGATGAAACTTGGGGAGAACTCCCTTTCCTCTGAGTTACTCAGCTGTGGTGGGTCTCCTTTTACTACTTGTGTCAACTGGTCAAACACACTGTTCCACTTGGGGTAGGGGAATCGCCCTGTGGCCAGCTCATACTGCAGATAGACAACAATGGCACCAGGCAGGTTACACAAGGTAAGTTCAATCAGGGTAAGAAAATGTTTGCAAGGACCCTGAACCCCTCAAAAGGAAGACTAAGATGAGATTCTTCATCCCATTCCCTATACAACGCTCAGCTGACAGAAGAGGAGGGAAAGTTTTACCCAATAGTAAGTTCTGCTGCCTACGTTAAAGAGCACCTCCAGATTTAACCTGGCTGTGCCATGCTTTCATGTTGACAATGTCTTCTCCTCCACTGAATATAAAATGAACCAATGCTCTTACTAAGGTGTTCAAAAGCAGGAGAGTAAAACCTTCCAATCCCTTTCCAAGCACCTTAACAACCACTAAAGAAAATGGATAATGAGAATCACATAATCATAGAATATCTCAAGCTGGAAGGGACCCATAAGAATCACTGAGTTAACTCTCCACTCTTCACAGGACAATGAAAATTGGCATTTTAAAACACCAGAGGGGAAGACAGAAGCTACTGGTTCATACTTATTGCTTCTGCTTTCTCTTCTACTTCACCATTGCGAGAAGGGAAGATCTTTTCAATTTATCAATGTGTGCACCCAGCAGTGCTGTGGTTAAGCCAGAGAGGAATCAGCAACTGGGATCAAGGATTAACTGAAGTCTTCTGCACAGCCGAAGTACACCAGATACCAGGGTTGTGACAGGCTTATTTACACAGGCTGGATACTCTGTTCTGCACCACCACACTCACCATCCCTTTTCATCTGAAATGGGATTTCAGATGAAATCAGAAGCCTTCTTTCATTTTAGAAGGCAAAATTCATTTAGGATCCAACACCTCTTCTCTGCTCACATCCCTTTCTCTGCAAAACACAGCTGCAGATCAATGTATCCTCAGGGGATCAGGAGAGCCATCTACCTTGAAGGGATTTATATTGTTTCTGAGCCAGAAGGTGCCCACTTCAATCACAACATGCAAATGCTTAACAGCAGCGGAGCTGGGCTTTGCTTCAAGCACGTGTTTGACACCAAACTACTCCATGACACTGCAAAGCGCACCAAGGCTACCCACCAGGAAAGTACGGCGCAGCAGAGGGTTTAAACCCCAATCACTTACCAATGTAATTCCCAAGCTCCAGACATCTGAGCGGACATCGTAGCCTTGCCTGGATGCGCTGGGATCTATCCTTTCAGGCTGAAACAGGAAAAAGGAGCAGTCAAACACTGTGCCATGCAGGAAGAAATGAAAAGCATCTGGAAACTTAGCCAAAATTCTAAGTTTGTCCCACCAGGCAGAGCCTGGCACAGCTCTAGAGGCAAACCTGTTGCTAAGGCAGACATCCAACCCCAGCAGACAAACATCTTAAGGAATCAAACCCTGATTTTATCATAGAATCATAGAATCCTTATGGTTGGAAGAGACCTCAAAGATCATCAAGTCCAACTGTACACCTGATGCCACCCTGTCCACTAAACCATGTCTTGAAGCGCCACATCTAAACGGTTTTTGAACACCTCCAGGGATGGTGAGTCCACCGCCTCCCTGGGGAGCCCGTTACAATGCCTAACAACTCTAACAGTGAAGAAGTTCTTCCTGATATCCAACCTGAACCTCCCCTGGCGCAACTTGAGACTGTTTCCTCTTGTCCTATCACTAGTAACCCAAGAGAAGAGACCAACCCTTGCCTTGCTACACCCTCCTTTCAGGTAGTTGTAGAGGGCGATCAGGTCTCCCCTCAGCCTTCTCTTCTCCAGACTAAACAACCCCAGCTCCCTCAGCCGCTCCTCGTAAGGCTTGTTCTCCAGGCCCTTCACCAGCTTTGTTGCCCTTCTCTGAACACGCTCCAGCACCTCAATGGCCTTCTTGTAGTGAGGGGCCCAAAACTGAACACAGTATTCGAGCTGCGGCCTCACCAGCGCAGAGAACCAAGGGGTGATCACTTCCCTAGTCCTGCTG